CTTTCTTTCTTTCTTTCTTTCTTTCTTTCTTTCTTTCTTTCTTTCTTTCTTTCTTTCTTTCTTTCTTTCTTTCTTTCTTTCTTTCTTTCTTTCTCTCTCTCTCTTTCTCTCTCTCTCTCTCTCTCCCTCTCTCTCTCTCTCCCTCCCTCCCTCCCTCCCTCCCTCCCTTCCTTCCTTTCTTTCTTTTTTGCTTTACTCCACAAACACAAAGCCCAGGCTGGCCCCAAACACAAACTCTTCCTGCCTCTACCTCCTGAGTGGCGAGACTATGGACACTTGCCATTATGGCAGGCGAGAGATGACTTTTGAACTCTAAGATCTGTTGTATTACTAGAGGGGACCATACCCCAACTAACTATGTTATCAGCAAAATGTGGACCAGACATGACATGACTGCCCACCAGAGGCTGTGCTGGTGATGCTGCTGTACGGACAGTGAAATGGCAGATCTAGCCCTCAAGCTTCTGGTCTAACGGGAGAGAAACAGATACAACAAGTAAGTACAACCCGTTGTGCGGAATGGAGGCTTCCTCCCGCTGTGCACTCTGTCTGGTTAATCGAACAGCCACGAAGAGCCAAGAAATACTGAGTAGAAATGAGGCTGGCCTCTCTGAGAGGGGGCAGGTGGGGTGTGCAGAAGCCATATCCCAGCAGTGTGCCTTGCTGGAGGAAGGAGGTGGAACGCGTGAAGAAGAGAGCCCCACCTTGCCCTTGCACACTTGCAAGCCCACGGATGCACACAGGCCAAGGCCAGAGGAAGGTCATGGGGGGGGGGTGAGGAGGAGATGGAGGACTGGAGAAAGGCTGGAGAGTTCTTCTGGAGGAGTCCTGTAGTGAGGCTTTAGGGATGACACAGGAACACTGTGAAGGGCTGGACTTCCTGGATGGAGGAACCAGCCAGGGAAAAGGCACAGACTAGGAAATAAGGCAAGGAGGGGAGGAGAACACAAGCACATGCTCAGCAGCGGAGAGGGGAGCTACAGAGAGAGAGATGGATCAAAATAGTGTTTGTGTTTGCCTTCAGATCCCTAGGTCATCTCTGCCCTCCCTCCCTCTCTGCCTCCTTCCCTCCTTCCTTTCCTTTTTTTTTTTTTTTTTTTTTGGTTTTCCGAGACAGGGTTTCTCTGTGTAGCTTTGCGCCTTTTTTGAGACAGGCTTTTCCGTGTATCCTTGGCTGTCATGAAACTCGCTCTGTAGACCAGGCTGGCCTTGAACTCACAGAAATCCACCTGGCTCTCCCTCTACTTCCTGAGTGCTGGGATTAAAGACATGAGCCACCACCACTCAGCTTTTCTTTCCTTAAGACAAGGTCTCAATAGCCCTGGATGTCCTGGGACTCTCTCTATAGACTAAGCTGGCCTTTGAACTCACAGAGACCCTCCTGTCTTGCTTCCCAAGTGCTGGACCTAAGTGATCCTCCTGGAGGGAGGGACAAAGGTATTCTGCTGAAATGGTAGGTCTTTATTTGGGGGCATTTTCCAGACAGTTTACTTTTATATAGCCCAGGCTTGCCTTGAACTGGATATGTTGCCAGCCCAGGCAGGCCCCAAACTCACAGCTATCCTCCTGTGTCAAGCATGTGAGTGCTAGGAACATTAGATGCACCGATATACCTAGAGTGAACTTTGATCTCAAATATGCCAGGACACATGGAAGGCTTTAGGGGAGGCTTGTTCCCTCCGGAGCAGCCTGCCCTGGAAGAAGGGAAGCAGATTGGTGGAATGTTGTGGAGGAGAAGTCAAAATTCCAGAATGGCTCCTGGTTAGAGGAAGTAGGTGGAGCACATCAGAGAGCCTCCACCCTGTATAACGAGGCCCTGAGTTCCTGCACTTAGGGCTGAAGGCAGGCAGAAGCAGAGGCTGCTGCTACGCAGATGAGGCTCCTGCTTCATCTTATCTAGGGTTTTTCTGAATGCCTGCTGGTGGACAGGACTCATCCGAGGAAGTGAAAAAATACGCACATGTAACAAGATCGTCATAAATCACAGTTATAGACATTAGAGCGCTACCCTTAGGAGAACCTACAATTCAATCAATCAATCAATAGAACACTTAGAGGCATGAAGAGCCAGAAAGAAACTCCTTACAGACTGGAAAGTGGTTTTGTCCTGGAGGCATGGGAATGGTACAGGAGAAACAAGAAACAGGCTTTTCGTTTCTATAAACTTCCCAAAACTTACACTGTTTTGAACTCTTGGAGAGATGGCTCAGGGGTTAGGAGCTCTTGCTCTTTCAGGGGACCTTGGTTGGGTTTCCATGTACCCACATGGCAGCTCACAACGCAGTCCCTAAGTCCAGTTCCAGGGAATCCAGTGTCCTCCTTTGCTCTCTACGGGTACCAGGCACACAAGCAGAGCACATACATACATGTAGGCAAAACACTCATACACATAAAATAAGTTTTGAAATAAAATTAATTTACACTTTTTGAAACAGTGACCGTATTTTAAAAAATACAACACTCGCCTTTGCTCTGTTTATGGTCTCCCTATTTTGTTTTGGCTTTCTTAGATGGTGGTGACAGAGAACGATGCTCTTTTAATATCCTAGTTTAGTAAAATACAATTCATTATGAAATTTCTGACTTGGAGACCGTGCATCCATCCAAAGCACGCAGGCAGAGTGAGAAAGTGGAGCGGCCAGATCCGTGCGACCCCGCGTATGGTCGGCAGGGGTCAGGCGAGCTCCACGCAGCGCCAGAGCAGGTCCCGCGAGTCATCGCTGCGCGGCTCGCAAAGCTTTAAGGCAGGAGGCGGAAAGAGAGCACTCTGGATCTGCTGTAGGCTGCGGATCGTGACCGACGACCACGCAGGCCTGAGGGTCCCAGCTCCCGCCAGGGCACGCGATGTGCCAGCCGCTCCCCTTAATCCCTCAAGCTGGGGCTTTACTCGGCCTCTGGCTCCACCCAGCCTCTCCGGCGTCGGGGCGCGGCCGACTCACCCTTGGTTCCTAGGTTTAAGAAACTCACCTTTCAGGGCTTTGCATGGGGGCCTTAAGCAATCTTGCCTCCAGCGCTCAGCTGGTTGCAAAGGTCAGGGAAGGAGTTGCTGGGCGAAGTGAAGCAATATTACAAACGTAAAGGACTACCACTACGTGACAGGGTTGACTCAGCTCTCTGGGGAGAAACTCCCTCCAGGCCCAAGTTGGGTGGTTGTAAAACTCTGCGGCTGCCTTAGCCCAGTGTCGCTCCCCAGGGGACCCAGGTGTCTACATTTAGGTGTCACTAGATTCCAATAAAGAGCATGACCAGGCCACACTTAACTTATCTCATTAACCGCCCCCCACCTCATCCACTTTTCAGGCTACATAGTTTGTTTTGTCCTTTATTTTAAAACATTTCTTGTGCATATTACATAAATAACACAAATACACCCCCCCCCCCCCCCCCCCCCAGGGGAAAAAAAAACCCATTCTTCCTTTCTCTTGCTCTAGCTGGATGCGCACGGATTGGGTAATTAGAGAGATTTAGCTCAAGGTTCCAGAAGCACCAGTACTCCCATCTCCAGTATTTTCTATGCATCATTGCATGGCAGGGGATGTCACGTGACAGGGCAGGCACCCTTGTTTAAGACTCTTACAGGGGCTGGACTGCTGGCTGCTCTTCCAGAGGTCTTGAGTTCAATTCCCAGAAACCACATGGTGGCTCGCAACCATCTGATGCCCTCTCCTGGCGAGTAGGCGTACATGCAGACAGAACACTTAAAAAAAAAACAAATCTCTTATAAAGCCAGCAGGGTCCCACTACCCAAGCCATTCCCTGACATGACTGGGTGACTTGTGGAAGTCAGGACAATTTGAACGTCAGTTCTCTCCACCTAGACCTCGGCTCCAGGACTCCAACTTAGATTGTCTGTCTCGGAGGCAAGCCACCTTATCTTGCAGGCTTGCTGGTCCCCTGGCACATTTTGATCATATTCCGTGGGTCATTCCAGTCATCCCTGCCTCAGCGGAACACCATTTCCACTGCATTCATGAACACAGCAGGACTCAGAACAGCCAAGGTAAGGTGCAGCCATAAGCTCTGGGTCTTCCCTGAATATGGGACTGGATTGGGGTTCGAAAGGCACTAGTTCCACCTGTCTCAAGCCTCAGCACCTGACTGTAGGCCCGCACCGCTGGGCTGGGATCCAGGAAAACCAGGTTTACCTTGGGGAACTGAGAAGGAGTGGGACAATTCAGATGCTCCACCTAGGATGCTAGATGCAGTGGCCCCAGGTTGGGATGTTGAGGACTCTCTGTTTTTGCTATGAGCCCATCTGGATCCTAGATCCAATTCTGACCTTGAAAAAGTCAAGTTGTCTGGATATTAAAAAACAAAACCACCCTCAAAGATTGGGCTGGGTATGGTGGTGGCCCATGCCTTTAACCCCAGAACTTGAGAGGCAGAGGCAGAAGGATCTCTGAGTTCAAGACCAGCAAGGGCTATAGATTGAGACAAAACAAAACTCAGATGTGCCGGGTGTATGTGTTCATGCCTGTAATCTTGGCACTAAGGACGCAGAGGCAGGCTAGATCCTGTCTCAAAACCAAACGACTCTCAAGAACGGTCTCCAGAAACTTAATAAGTTCTCCTTCTCCCTTCCTCCACTGGAACCCCCTTCCCCAATTCCTTTAAGAGAAATCACAGGGAGGGACATGGGGCTCATGCCTGTAATCCCAGCACTTGAGGTAGGGGCAGATCTACAGTTCCAGATCTTAGTTCAAGGCCAGTCGGGGCTACAGGGAGCCCTAAAGAAAACCAAGTACAAGTTGGAAGGGGAGGGAGGAGACACAGACTTGGTGTTACAGGGCTTGCCTAGGCACACTCCAGGTCTGACCTCAGCAAAGGAAGAGGAGGAGTCACTGGGAGATTCGGGTCTGAGGCTTCCCATCCTAGCCTCCTGTCCTATTACAGAAGGGCAGGACTCTTCAAGGACACTCAGGATGCAGGCAGAGGGCAACAGCAAATGGCTTGCTTCTCCTCAGAACAATGCTTTGGGCGCAGAAGGGTTCGATTCGCAGTATGTTTAATACAAAATGGCAGCAGCCGCTGTGCAGCGGGAACAAAATTAGCCACAGGGTGTCTAGAGAAATGTGCACAGGCAGAGAGAGGGACTGGAGTTGAGCCAGGCAACCCAGGCCGGCCACAGGGCCTGTGCCTGCTGCCCAGTCAGCTGCAGGAGGTCACATGAGCAGGCTCAGTGCCAGCCTGTGACAGAGCGATGCCGTCAGATTCAGGTACACCAGGGAGGCCAGCAAGAGCCAATCTTCCGTGCCATCCATCGTGGTTAGACCAGGACTCCGTCCTTCCTCTGGTCTGCCACAGATGTTATGGAGCTGTTTAGACCTTAGGATGACAGCCCACAAGGACAAGGTTGTTGCCTTTTCCTCAAGAAAAGAGACCATTAAAAAAACGGAAAGCAGCGATGCTTCCACTCGGGTGGAAAGGGCTCCCTGCCAGAGGCTTGCCCAAGAAAAGGAGTCGGGTACCTACTAAAAGGTGCCATCCCAGAGGGTGAGAACATCAAATCCAGAAGTGGAGAGCGAGGGCACTGTCATGGAGGCGCCCCCCGCCCAAGCCCTAGAAAAACCAAAGTCCTTTTTGCAGTCCGTCTTAAGCTTTCCCGACTGACTGGCTGTCATGGCCGGAGAATCCGACCTCATGTGGGCAGAGAGCTGGTGTGAAGGGCAGCTGAGCCACAGAGCTCCCTTGGGCAGGGGAAAGGGCCGCTATGCCTCTGCCTCCAAAGAAAGGCCTGGGTGCTAGGACCAGGGCTGCCAGGCCATGGGGCTAGCGGAAGTCTGCATTGAACGCTCGGCCGATGATCAGCCGCCTCACTTCACTGGTCCCGGCTCCAATCTCATACAGTTTGGCATCTCGAAGGAAGCGGCCCATGGGGAAGTCGTTGATGTAGCCATTTCCACCTGTGAAGCAGATGTGGGAAGAGAACGGACAGAACTGAAGGCAGCAAGGAAGACAGCCAGGGGGTCATTCCCCAGTATCTTCAGGGACTGGTTTCTTTGCATATAACCTACCTGTGTTCTCCCAATACCCTCTCTCTTCTCTCCCCACCCCCCCCACTAGGGACTGAGTATGGATCTCACACACACTAGGCAAATGCTCTACCACTGAATTATAACTCCAGTTCATATTTTAAATATCTCTATCTATCTAATGTGACATAAATGTCATTTAAATAGTTACATTGGAATGTTTAGGGATCAATGATGAGAGAAGTCTATGTTCAGCTCAGGTACAATTGGAACCCGTACAGAGGATAACGTGGGTCAGTTTTCTCCTTTAACGGTGTGGGTCCTGGGAACCGAAATCAGCTTGCCAGGCTTTGCAGCAAGCACCTTTATCCACGGAGCCGTGTTGCTGGTCCTTTTTTTGTGCTGGCAAAATCCCAAGCCGCTGATAAAATTTTCTTTTCTGAACATTTCCTTCCTTCTTTCCTTCCATTTCCTTTTTGAGACAGGGTCTGTCATATCCTAGGTTGGCCCCCCAACTCACAAAATAGCTAAAGATGACCCTGAACTGCTGATCCCCTTACCTCTAACTTCCTGAGTTCTGGGATTACAGGTGTGTGCCACCTGTTATCTAGCTGGTTAACATAGGGCTGGGGCAGTGGCTTTGTGTATGCTTGGCAAGGATACCACACCGAGCTAGAGCCCAGCTTGGCGGTCTCAGCCTCCTTCTTCGGTTTCCCAAGTGCTGGGAGCCCAGGTGTGCACCTCCATGCCCAGCCTTTCCTGAATATCTTTGATTATTTGTTGAGCTCGGAAGAACCCCAGGATATACAGGCTCTGGGGGAAGGACTGATTGAAGAGCGGTAAGGATGACGAGGGAACCTTGTTGGGGCTGGGAAGGCATGGGAGAGCTGCTCTAGAAGGTCCCCCAGATTGCTGAGGACCCAGACAAGGAAAGAGCAAAACCTGGGCCTGGGACTCTGGAGCGTCCACCTAGCATGCCTCAAGTTCTGGATTCAGTCTGGATTCAGCACTACACACAAACCAGGTGTGGCGGCACATGCCTGTAGTCCCGGTAACTCAGGAGGTGGAGGCAGGAGGATTGGAACTTCCAGGTCATCCTCAGCTACATGACATGCTCACATACCTGAGACCCAGCTTTAAAAAAATGCAAAATCAGTGGCAGACCTGGGCTAGAGGGATGGGATTCCAACCTAAGCCGACATGATTGAGGCTGCTCTACCTGAAGCATTTCTCCCAATTTCCTGGTGACCTTAGACCAGGCAGGGAAGATAGGGGAAGCTTGGAGGCTCCAGCCTCCTCCTCCTCCTCCTCCTCCTCCTCCTTCTTCTTCTTCTTTTTTGGTTTTTCGAGACAGGGTTTCTCTGTGTAGCTTTGCACGCCTTGCCTGGAACTTGCTCTGGAGACCAGGCTGGCCTCGAACTCACAGAGATCCGCCTGGCTCTGCCTCCGAGTGCTGGGATTAAAGGCGTGTGCCACCACTGCCCACTTCGTCTTCTTTTTTTTTTTCCCATTTATTTTTCTCTTTCCTATTTATTTGTCTGTCTATCTATCTATCTATCTATCTATCTATCTATCTATCTATCTATCTATCTATCTATCTATCTATCTATCTATCTATCTATTGAGACAGGGTTTCTCTGTGTAGTCCTGGCTGTCCTGGAACTCATCCTGTAGACCAGGCTGGCCTCAAACTCAAAATCCATCTGCTTCTGACTCTTGAGTGCTGGGAGTAAAGGCGTGTGTCACCGCCACCCAGTTGTCTTTTTTTCCTCTTAAAATATTGATTTTATGTATATGGGTGTTTTGCCGACATGTTTGTCTGTGTACCACATTTGTGCCTGGTGCTCTCGGAGGCCACACGAGGATGTTGGTTCCCCTAGAACTGCAGTTACAGATGGTTGTGAGCTGTCAGGTGGGTGCTGGGAATAGAACCTGGGTCCTCTGGAAGAGAGAAGCCAGTGTTCTTGACCACTGAGCTGTGTCTCTAGGCCTCACTCCCCTTTAAAATAATAAAGATCCATTTATTTACTCACTGTCATTACAAAAACTTCCCTTTCCTCTTCACTGGAGGCGGACAGAGCCTAGAGGTGCCCGCATGGCTGTAGCTAGTTTAAGCAGAGTGAGTAGTGGAGAGGGACCCCAGGAGTGGAGAGTGAGGGCCACTCACCTAAACACTGAATGCCGTCCAGGGCTACTTGTGTGGCACACTCAGCTGCATACAGAATCACGCCGGCACAGTCCTGTGGGATGAGGCCTTGCTCAGCAGGGGCCCGGTGGATGACCCACCAACCCACCTCTTCTTCCCCCAGAGCTGGCCCTCACCTTGGCAATGATGTGGCCTTCATCACAGGCTTTGGCGACATTGTAGACATACTGTCGACATGCCATGAGGCGGGTGTACATGTCGGCCATCTTTCCCTGCATCAGCTGGGCACAAAGGGAGGCCGTGGGTCACCAATGCTGGGACACTCTGATTACTGAAAGCAGGTCAGTGGCAAGGACAAGCTGACAGCCAGGGATGAGGAGCCAGGGGCACAGAGAAGAGATGGGACTTGCCAAGGACAATGGAGACGGAAACAACTCCAGGAGATGAGGCTAGCGAGTTGCCTCCCGTGTGGCTCGCTTCCGGCAGAAGGGTGGGATTAGAAATGCAGCTCCCGTCCCCTAAACGCCAATGTTCTGCGTGCTTTACCCTCCAGCCTTGCAGTGTCTAGTTCACTCATCTCAAACGGGAATGGGTAGGACAAGGTGAGGACCCTCCAAAGCCAGGCTGCATGGGAAAGGAGCTGCAGGCTGAGAACCGCAGCTCATTCTGCTAGAGGAGGGCAATCACCTGCAGCACGCCACTACCTCCGCATCGCCTTTAATCCAGCAAAAGAGGGCCTTTCAGCGAGTATCCCCCTTACCTGGAACTGGCCGATTTTCTGGCCAAAGGCTTCCCTTACATGCAAATAGGGAATGGTGTGGTCCAGGACAGCCTGCATGATCCTGCCGGAAGAAGAAAGGCACCGTGGAGGTGTGATGTTGTCAAATGGGGTGAGGGTAACAGGAGAGGGGAGACTGGAGTCCCCGAGAGAAGAAGGGGGAGGGGCCTGAGAAGCCCCCCCCCCCCCCGGCACTCCCTGCTGGCACTGCCCTCAGAGGAAACGGCCTGCCCAGCTCCCAGGCCCCTTCCTCTGGGAGCAGGTGGGTGTGGTGGGGCCGCGGGAGGGGTCAGAGTCTGGCCCCTCCTGTTTCTCAACCACACTGACTACGCAGAGGCAGCCCTCACCTGCCATCTGTCACGTGATGACATTTCCCTCTGTGTAAAGAAATTAAACAGAGAAGCAGATTCTCCAGGACAGAGGATAGCTCACAAAAGAGCTTCCTTTGTTCACCCCACCCCTCACCCCCTGTCCAGGGGAGGCTGCTAACCTAACGAGGCTGGGGAGCTCAGGTTGCCCCAGCCCCACACTCACCCAGGGGTCCACCAGCTTCCTCACACAGGTGAAACTTCATGCCCCCCCCCCCACACTTACCCAAGGGGTCCACCTGCCAGCACCAGGCGTTCGAGGTCCAGCCCGCTCATCAGTACGTAGACACCCTTACTCTCTTGGCTCAGGATGTTGGCAGCTGCGGGAATACGTGCCAGTCAGCGAGGGCCGTTCATAGCCGCTTCACGGTTATAAAAGGTGCCACGTCACACAAGGCACAAAAGGACCTTACTCGACCTTCAACTAGGGTTTCCAGTGAGAGGCAAAGACGAGCTCTGCCACTTCCAGTCAGAGGTGGAGTTTTCAGGACCCCACACCACGCACAATACTACGGAGCCCCAAGTTGTTAGATCTCCCCTTTCTCACCCTGGACTCCCTGGGATGGGAAAGAAGAAAGGCTGACTGGTTTAGAAGTCACCCACCCTTCTTGGATTCTTTCTGCACCTGATGTCTACTTATACCGAAATCTGAGAACTTATCGCCCCGAGGTTGTGTGCTCGGTTCAGGGTCACCTCTCAGCAATGTCCCTGAAAGCTGCTTTGTCTCTGAGTTAGGGTGACGGTGACAGAAGCTGATGAGCACCTACCCCCCCCCCATTCCTTCTTTTTTTCCTCACCTGCCTTTAAGGCTGATGAATGATTTTTTTCTTTCTTTCTTTCTAAAAGTGAGTCTGTATGGATTCTCTTTCCTGGACACTCTTTCTGACCACAGCATGCTGTTTCTGGATGGTTTATGGCTGATGCACGAAGCAGCCCTAATTCATGACCAGATCCATGCCCTCAGCTCTCTCACAGTGCCACATAGTGTCACGTTCACAGTTACGGCACAGGGGAGAAAATATTCCTGCAGAATCAAATTACCTCTCCTTCATCGAGTCTGGCTTCTGTCAATTTATTCAGAAGGGCTTTTTAGCACCATTACCGAGTGTAATTCAGAGTGTTGTGGTTTGGACACGAAATGGCCCCCTGCGGGCTGGTGGGCTGAAGGCTTGGTTCGCAATGAGGCAGTGTTCTGAGGTGGGGTTTGGGACGTGACTGGAAGGCTGACCTAATCAATGGACTAACCTGATGATGGATTCATAATTTAATGGCATTAATGAGAGACAGTGGAAATGGAGACAGGGCCTCCAGGAAGAATTGGCCACTGGGGTGTGTGTCTTTGAGAGTCTAATAGGATTCTGGCCTCTTCCATCTCTGCTACTTACCCTCCATAAGATTTTAAAGCAGCTCTCCCAGGCCCTTAGGCCTTCCTGCTCTGGCTCAGCATAGGAGCAGAAGCAACAGAGCCAGCCAATGGGCCATAGGCTTGACACCTAAAACCACGAGGGAAATAAATTCTTCCTCCTTTAACTTGTTCCTGTCGGGTTATTTATAAAGGTGACAAGAAGTCGGGCTAGCGCATGTAGGCCATACAGGCGAATGCACAGGAAGTCTGAAGGACATCAGTGGACGGTGGCTGGCCTTACCTTTCACCGTCTGCTACTGGCAAGGTGTGTTCCCCATCCTTCATCTGGGTAGGCAAGCAAACAGCGGCAGGGCCTGTGGCCAGGACAGACAGCTGTCCAGTGGCTCTCGGCCCGCAGTCTAGCCACATATCATGGGGCACACAATGGTAGTGCACCTCTGTAACGAGGAGACGGACTTTTCCAGCTCGCAAAGGAGTCAGGATAGGGACCCTTTATTCTCTGGACACTTACCAGGCACTTTGCAGTCTTCAAAGATCAGCTCACAGGTGTTGGAACCTCTCATACCCAGCTTGTCAAGCTTCTTGGAGGTGCTAAAACCAGGCATACCCTTTGCAGGAAACCAAAGGAGGTCCTGGTTAGACTTGGCCCAAGGGGGCCTAAAAAGGGGGAAGCTCACCTCACCTACCGATTCTGATACCTGCCCAGCATGCCCACATCTGCTCCCGAGTTCTCCCTCTGAAAAACTCCAGCCTTCGCGCCTCACCGACTTCGCTCCCAACTCCTCTGCCGCCAGCCTGCTTCTCCCCAGTTCTCGGGGGAGCAGTTCTTCCTCAACAGAATTCAGTCCCCAGCCCTCCTCCCTCTCCCAGGGACACGACTCTGAAGACACTCTCAGAGCCCATACCAATTCCTCTGCCCCCCTTCTCTTTAGCCAGCTGTCCCTGAAGGAGCCCCGATTCCAACCACCTGCACGCCTTGACCAGGATGACGCAGACGCACGTGTGTTGCCAAATGCCCAGGGGAGCGGCGGCACACGCTGCTCCGTTACCTCCGGGCCTTTCCGGTTCCAGTCTTAGCCAGCTCCTCCCCCTCCTCCTCGGGGAGTGTGCTGCCAACCTTTGTACCATGTACTTAAACTTTCTAGCATTCCCCTGGAGCTGGGTTCCCAAGCCTCAGTGGCACCTGCCCTCTTTCTTCACCATTTAAGTCGACGGTTGGTGTGGAGCCAACACCTGTTCCCTGAACTTAAACACCTCAAACTTTTTCCAGGCTGGGGCGCATGCCTTTAATCCCAGCATTGGGGAGGCTGGGGCAGACAGATCTCTGTGAGTTCGAGGGAAACCTGGTCTAGACAGCTCGAGTTCTAAGCCAGCCAGGGCTACACAAATGAGACCCCATCTTAAAACAAAAAACAAAACAACAACAACAACGAAAAACTCCCATGGTTTTCTTTTCTCTATACTGAAAAGTTTGTTGCTGTTTCCTGTTTTTATGTTTTTGAGACAGTCTTTCTATACAGACCTGGACCTCACTACAAGGACCAGGCTAGCCTCAAACTTGCCTCTGCCTGTCAAGTGCTGCTCAGATTACAAATACACCTTGTCTGGCTCCTGGTTTATTTAAAACAAAACCAAAATTAAAATGGAACTCTTGAGTTTTAATCTAACTCCCGATGTATGCTGTCCTTGTCCATACTATTGGAGGTACAGTGTCCAAAACATCATTTGTATTCGCACCCATGCCTCAGTCTCCTCCACAGCTCCTGCTCATCTCAGTAAGACGATCCCATGGCTTCTTTTTCCATTTCCTTCTTCTTTGATTCTGTGGACAGCTCTACTGTCTACATTCAGACCTGACCCAGCCTCTCTGCATCTCTCTTCTTTTTCTTTTTCCTTTTTTTTCTCTCTAGTGCTGAAAATTGAACCCAGGGTCTGCACATGCTGGGAAGCTACTCTCCCCCCGGGCAACTCTGCCAGCACAGGACTTGACTTTTGGGCTGTTTTCTTCAGCCTCTCATTACCCGCCACCCCCTGCGAGCAGAGCACAGAACACTGATCTCAATCTTGACCAGCTGGAAGGAGTTATCTCTGTCACTATTGTCAGAGCTGGAAGTCTCTCCAATCCCACGCCCACCATCCTCACCTTCTCCACAATGAAGGCTGTGATGCCCCGAGAAGCTGGCATGGCATTCAGATCTGTCTTGGCATAGACAACGAGGACATCGGCATCGGGGCCATTGGTGATCCAGAACTTGTTGCCATTCAGAATGTAGTGGTCTCCTAAGGGAAAGGCTGTCTGTGCAAGTCTCCTGTCCTGGTTCAGCCAGTCTGTCCACAGAACTGCGGCTGCCCTGCTGGGAACCCAGCAGAGACGACCCCCAACTGCTCCTCCCTCATCCCATCCCAGATTTAGTTTCTCTGCCTTTTCTGGCGGCTTTGTGGCAAGAGGCCTTACCTTTCTTTTCTGCTTTAAGCTTCATGGAGACAACATCAGAGCCAGCATTGGGTTCACTCATGGCCAGGGCTCCGATGAACTCACCGCTGATCAGCTACAAGGGAAGCCGAGACCGCCTTGTTAGGACTGTGGGGGCACCCTGCAGCAGGAAGCGCCCTGGACACCCCCAAACTGCCCCCAGAGCAAAGTGGGGTACTGTAAGGCTTCTCTTCCCTCTACTCCTGTGTCCACCACTTTTTGGCGGTACTGGGGACTGGCTCCAGGGTCTCAAACATGCTAAGCAAGGGACTTACCATTGAGACCGCCTCTCACCCCTCAGTCTTCATAGTTTAAAAATTCTATTTTTATTTATTCGCGTGTGTGCGTGTGCGTGTGCGTGTGCGTGCATGTGCATGGACAATCTGTGGGAGTTGGTTCTTTCTCCGCCACGTGTGTCCAACTCAGGTTATCAAGCTCGGTGGCAGGCAGGCACTTTCACCACTAAAGCCGGCTCACTGGCTCCTATTTGCTTTCTGAGACGGGGTCTTGCCAAATCACTCACGCTGGGATTTGTGAGTCTCCTGCTTCTGCCTCCCAAGCAGCAGCTGAAACTCTACATATGTCACAGGTCACCACATCCCTGACTGAAGGGTCCCCCCCCCCCCTTTGTTCCGAGACAGGGTTTCTCTGAGTAGCCCTGGCTGTCCTGAAACTCACTCTGTAGACCAGGCTGGCCTCAAATTCACAGAAATCTGCCTGTCTCTGCCCCCCAAGTGCTGAGATTAAAGGTGTGCACCACCACCACCTGGCCAAAGTTTTTTGACTTAAGCGTTTCAAAACAATCTCAGGCACTTTCCTAATTCTATTTAGTTCACAGCGGCAAGACAAGACTGAAAATCTGCTTGGCCCCCACAAGGAGAGGGCATGTCATGGTGGCCATGTTGAGTCCATGTGGGTTTCTTCTTTCCCATCTCCTCACCTTGGGAAGGTATTTCTCTTTCTGTGCCTCATTCCCATTGCGGACAATCTGGTTGACGCAGAGGTTGGAGTGGGCACCGTAGCTGAGCCCCACTGCTCCAGAAGCCCGCGATATCTCTTCCATCACCAACACATGTTCTAGGTAGCCCAGGCCAGAGCCGCCATACTGAACTGGGAGGGGGATGTGGGGGGAAGCAGAAAGGCATCCAGGTTACACTGGAACACTGACAGGAATCTTTTAGTAACTGGCAGGAAAGAAACACCCTGGTAGCTAGATTCCAAGTCCCCCTAGCAAGGCCGGCAGGCTATTGTCAGGGACTCTGCTCAGAAGGACACAGGACTGGTTCTGCTTGGTTCTGCTTGCTCCTGCCGGGGAGCTGCAGTTCAAGTTCAGAACCCACTATTGCCAACTCTGGCTTTATCCCGACATCTTCAGTGAGGACAAGCAAAAACCTGAGCACTCTTCCAGAAGTTACAGAAGGCAGAAACAGATGGATGAAGGAAGAAGGAGAAGAAACATGAAGGGGGTGGGTGGCGAGGGGGCTATGTTCAGAGCACGGAAATCGGTTACAGACTGTGTATGGGCAGAGGCCTCAAAGAGGTGAGGTTTTAAAGACTTATTTGTGTTTTTTACTTATCTCTGCCACATGCGCACCGGTGCCCCCAGACACCAGAAGAGGGTTCTGGAGTCCCTAGGGCAGCGGTTTTCAACCTGTGGGTCACACCCCTTTGAGAAACCTACCTCCAAAAATATTTACATCATCATTCATAACGGTAGCAAAATTACAGTTATGAAGTAGCAATGGAAATAATTTTATGGTTGGGGGGGGGTCACCACAACATGAGAAACCGTATTAAAGGGTCGAAGCATTAGGAAGGTTGAAAACTACTGTCCTACAGCTCGAGTTATAGGTGGTTATGCGGACATCAAGGATTGAACTTGGGTCCTCTGGAAGACTAGGAAACGCTCTTAACCACTGAGCCATCTTTCTGGCACCAAAGGTGAGGTGTGATAGCATCGCTCTGGGAACAAAGTAGGTCTGATACATATACATGTAGCATATACACACAGGTGTGCACATATATGCACACACACAGATACAGAAATTAAAAAAAAATTCTTCAAAAAAAAAAACCAAAAACCAAAAAACAAGAACGGTTTTCAGGATAGGCACAGTGGCCCACACCTGTAACCCCACACTTTGGAAGGTGGAAATGGGAAGATCATGAGTTCAACGCTATCTATGGCCACATAGCAAACTCAGTGCTGGCCTGGGCTATCTGAGGCCCCCTCTCAAAAAAATTAATAAGGAAAGGTAAGGAAAAGAGAATGAAAAAGAGAAAGAAAGCACGTTTCCCTGTGTCTGGGTCCCCTGGTCCTTCACACGGTCACTGTGTAAAGCTCCGTAAACAAGCTGGTCTGAGCACTCAGGCTGCCCGGTGTGAGCGAAGCCTAGTCAACCAGGACTCCAGAAGGACAGTAGGAAACAGAATGCTGTCTGCTCTCAAAACTCGTCCTTCCTCGGGGGCCTGCTGCTGTAGGCCTATGTCTCAGCCACCCGAGAGCCAGAAAGAACACATTCAAGTCTTACCTGGCTATGGAGGGAGTTCAGGGCCAGCGAGGACAACTTGGCAAGACCCAGTCTCAAGACAAATCAATAGGAAAGGGGGTGGGGATGTAGCTCAATGGTAGGATACTTGTCTGGCATGTGCAAGGCTTTAGGGTCAATCCCCAGTACAAACAACACCAGTCCTGGCTTTCTTTTTGAAGTTCCCACTTGAAAGGATTTTCTCCGGTTTCTTGTTTTTTTAACTGTGGTTCTGGGGATCAAACCTAGAGCTTCGTGCAAAGTATATTCCCTTGCCAATGAGCTGCTTTCCTGCCCCGGCTTCTTCCTTTGCTTCTCTTTTTTCCTTTCTTTCTTTCTTTCTTTCTTTCTTTCTTTCTTTCTTTCTTTCTTTCTTTCTTTCTTTCTTTCTTTCTTTCTTTCTTCCTTTTTTTTCTTTTTCCTTCCCTTTCTTCTTTCTTTCTTTTTTCCTTTCCTTCCTTCCTTCCTTCCTTCCTTCCTTCCTTCCTTCCTTCCTTCCTTTTCTTTCTCTCTTCCTTCCTTCCTTCCTTCCTCTCTCTTTTCTTCTCAAACTTTTGTTCTTCTAACCTTACCTCTGAGTGTTGGGATGACAGGCACCACTCTGTTTCTGTCACAATGGAGACAGGTAAACACTCTAGCAACTGAGCTACATCCTCAGGGTCTCATATACCTCAGGGTGGCCTTGAACCTCCAACCTTCCTACCTCTATCTCTTAAGTGCTGAGATTACAGGTATTTATTACACAGCCTGGCCTCAGCCCATTGATTTTATTTATTTATTTCTAGGTTTATTTATCTTTGTTTTATGTGCATTGGTGTCTTGCCTACATGTATGTCTATGTGAGGGTGTCAGATCTTGGAGTTATACAGAGTTGTGAGCTGCCATGTGGGTGCTGGGAATTGAACCCAGGTCCTCTGGAAGATCAGTCAGTACGCTTAACTGCTGAGCCATCTCTCCAACCTGGCCTATTGATTTTGAGTTGCTTTTTTGTTCCATTAAATATATTCTGATTCAGAAGCATATTATGTTGGGCTGGATCCTAAACTCTCAAAGCACAGAGAGAGTCTTGTTTGGGGGTTCCCAGTAGGTCCCTCTGGAAACTCTCTCACATTGACATGGTTTAAATGAATCATTAAGCAGTTTCATTGTATCACATTCATGTAACTTTCCAGGGTCAACTCAAACCCCAGGACCTAAGCTACTCCAGGAGGATAGAAGATGAAATACACAGACACTTGTCAAACCAATACCTGTATCCTTGGTTTCCAGACCCATCTCTGATACCAAATCCAGTCACATCCCTTACATAAATAAAACGGCAACATAATTTATGCACACCTGCCCACATCCTCTACATCCTCTATTATTCAGTATGTAAACAGTACATGCTTTATACCGATAGTTATTAGCTTCCCCCCTTAAACATTTTTACATTTATTTTATTTTATGCACATGGTGTTTGCCTGCTTGTATGTATGGGTACCATGTGCGTGCTGGGAACCGAAGGTGGGTCTTTCATATGCTCAACAAATGCTCTTCACCACTGAGCCATCTCTCCAGCCACACCCCTTTTTTGAGCCAGGATCTTAGCTCTGTAGCCCAGGTTGGCTTGAGACTTCCTGCCTTAGCCTTCCAAGTATGAGATTAGAAACAGTTGTTCTGCTGGGCAGCGGTGGGGCACACGTTTAACCTCACCAGTCAGGAGGCAAAGGCTGGTGGATCTCTGAGTTCGAGGCCAGCCTGGTCTACAATGCGAGTTCCAGGACAGCTGGGGCTACACAGAGAAACCCTGTCTTGAAAAAAACAAAAAAGAAAGGAAGGAAGGAGGAAGGAAGAAGGAAGAATGAGGGAGGAAGAAGGAAGGAAGGAAGGAAGGAGGAAGGGAGGAAGGGAGGAAGGAAGGAAGGAGGAAGGAAGAAGGAAGGGAGGAAGGAAGGAGGAAGGAAGGAGGAAGGAAGAAGGAAGGAAGGAGAGAAGGAAGGAGGAAGGAAGGAGGAAGGAAGGAGGGAGGGAGGAAGGAAGGAGGAAGGAAGAAGGAAGAGAGGAAGGAAGGAAGGAGGAAGGAGGGAGGGAGGGAGGAAGGAGGAAGGAAGGAAGGAGGAAGGAAGAAGGAAGGAAGGAAGGAAGAAAGAGTTGTTCTCTACTGTTTAGGAAAGGATGACAGGACAAAAACCTCTGGTACAGCTCTTATGCCCAGGAGCGTAGCTGGTCGCGGAGGCCAACAGCTCACACATTCACCATCATGGCGACCCCAGCAGGGTCTTTTTTCTAGAAGGCAGCACAGAACCAGAATATACCAGCTCCCTGTCTTTCCCCTCAAAAGTCGTAGCATACACAGGGGATATTGGGCAGGTCCAAGAGCCTACTAAAATTCAAGGTCATCATGTGGCCACCTTACTGAGGACCCAGACATCCCTCTTAGTCCCATTTCTAACCCCAAATGAGCTTTGGGGACAAGTTATAAGCAGAGGACTTAGGCTGTCGCTCAGGGACATACTTTTCCTGAAGGTTCCCACTTACAGGTCACTGGTGAGACAGAGCTCAGCAAACACTGAGGGAGGACTGCTAGGACAGTTAGTCAACTTAGAATTTTCTACATGCCCCAAGTCATCTGGAGGAGTCCGAGGAGCATGCAGATTCCACAGGATGCAAGGAGGAATCCGTAGAGCATGCAGATTCCACAGGATGAAAGGAGGAATCTGTAGAGCATGCAGATTCCACAGGATGCAAGGAGGAATCTTTAGAGCATGCACATTCCACAGGATGCAAGGAGGAATCTTTAGAGCATGCAGATTCCACAGGATGCAAGGAGGAATCTTTAGAGCATGCACATTCCACAGGATGCAAGGAGGAAACTTTAGAGCATGCACATTCCACAGGATGCAAGGAGGAATCTTTAGAGCATGCAGATTCCACAGGATGCAAAGAGGAATCTGAGGAGCATGCAGATTCCACAGCATGCAAGGAGGAATCTGAAGAGCATGCACATTCCACAGGATGCAAGGAGGAATCTGAGGAGCATGCAGATTCCACAGCATGCAAGGAGGAATCTGAAGAGCATGCAGATTCCACAGGATGTAAGGCTCTCATTAAATCTCCAGCATGGAACTAAAAAAACCAGCAGAGTCAAGAGTCTGAGAGAGCCTGCTTCTTGCCATCACTAATGATTATGTCAGTGGGTGCTGCCTCGGGTTCAAGGATGAGGAAGTTCTTGGGGAATGAGTGATCTTCCCTTTCCATTGATTGTTGATTTCTGTGTGAGTGTATGAGTGTATGTATGTATGTGTATGTGTGTATGATGTATGTGTACATGTGTATGTGAGTGCATGCTCCTGTGTACATGTGTGAAGCCAGAGGAAGATATCAGGCATCCTCTTCTACCACTCTCTACGGTGTCCTTTTTTGGGGGTGGTTTTTCAAGACAACATTTTTCTGTGTAGTCCTGGCTGTCCTGGAACTCACTCTGTAGACCAGGCTGGCCTTCAACTCACATAGATCCGCCTGGCTCTGCTTCTCCAGTGCTGGGATTAAGGACATATGCCACCACGCCTGGTTTACTTGATTGTTCCTTTTGAGATAGGGTCTCTCACTGAGCCTAGAACTCATGTTTTTCCTGTGTGCCCCAACAAGCCCCAGCAAGCCTCCAGTCTCAAGCCCCCCAGTCAGTTCTGGGATTACAGGCATTGGATGGGACAGGCCCCCGACCCCCAGTCAGTTCTGGGATTACAGGCATTGGGTGGGACAGGCCCCCAACCCCCAGTCAGTTCTGGGATTACAGGCATTGGGTGGGACAGGCCCGGCTTTTCTTAGTGCTGAGCTCTGAGCTCTGGCTCTCAAGTTTACACAGCAAATGCTCTCAGCTTGAGCCTTCTCTCCAGCCTCTTGCTTTTGTTTTTTTCTGAAACAGGGTCTCACTCTGTAGCCTAGGCTGGCCTGGAACTCACTGTACAGCACAGGCTGGCCTTGAACTCTGAGCAGTACCCCTGTTGCAGGCCCCTGGAATGCTGGGACTACAGGAGTGCACCACCATGTCCACTTCCCTTTCTGCCTGTTTTGGCAACAGAGAATGCTCTCTTTAGGGAAAGAAGCCGTACTCACCAGGGGCTGTGATGCCCAGGACTCCCAGGCTCCCCAGCTGCTTCCAGAACTCCTGTCAACAGCACAGAGCGGGTTTCAAGAAGGCAGTTCGCCACATGTGGCCAGAACAACAAGCCCAGGCCATTCAGAGAAAGCAGCTATACTCTTAGCGAGGCCCCTGTCTCCAGGAGACAGCGTGCACCTTTCTAGGCAGCTGTGCAGAGCAGCGCTGCCCCCAGAAACCTCCACGTCCACCCTCAACCTTGCCACTCACTCTCAGGTCCTTGAACTCGTTGCTCTGATCAATCTCTTGGGCCTTGGGGGTCAGGTTCTCGTGAAGGAACTTCGATATAGTCTGACGAAGCTAGAGGGAGAGAGGTAGACAGAGGCTACTGAGACCAAGACATGGTTGCCACCGAGAGCAATGTCCCCGGGGTTGAAGGCGTATTCGGGGGGCTAGGCCACAGGCACTCTCACCGCGTAGCGTCAGGTTGAGGCTTAGGGGGCCCACCGAATTATGTTTCCTTAGAGGCATCAGAGTGGAGGGAGCGTCAACTGAGAAAATGCCTAAGATCCGGCTGTAGACAAGGTGTAGGGCATTTTCTTAATTAGTGATCAATGGGGGACGGCCCAGTGTAGTACTGTGGGTAGAGCCACCCTGGATGGGGCAGTCCTGGGTTATATGAGGAAGCGGGCTGAGCAAGCCACGAGGAGCAAGCCAAAAGAGTTACTGCCTTGATTTTCTTCAACGAGGAATTGTAAGCCAAATAACCTTTTCCTTCCCAACTTGCTTTTTGGTCATGGTGTTCACCATAGCAATAGTAACCTTAACTAGGACCGTGATCTTCCCCTCTTTCTGAAGGTTCTTTGAAGCTGGGCAGTGATGGTGCATGCCTTTAATCTCAGTACTTGAGAGGCAGAGACAGGTAGATTCTCTGTGAGTTCGAGGCCACCCTGGTCTACAAAGTGAGTTCCAGGACAGCCAGGGTTACACAGAGAACCCCTGTCTCGAAAAACCAAAAAAGATTCTTGGTTTAAACATCTTGGAAATGATTAAAATATTATTTTATTAATTTTAAGCCTGAATTTTGCCCAAGCTGACCTTGAACTCATGTACCCCAGTGACTCAGGTATTGAAGATGATTTTTAAAATGCTGCCTCCCTACATAAAATCACTCCATACCTTTCTGCTCTACTCAGAGTAACACAAAACCCCTAAACCAGTCCACATAGGCTGTCCTCCATTGGCCATCCAGCCTCCCCTGTACCTTTCCATTACCCACCCATTCATTGCACCCCAGACACTCCCCCTCAGTTCTGACACTTGTCAGTCTCTTTACCATCCTTGAGACTTTGGCTAAAAGAGATTACTTGATGGGGTTAGACATTGCCTTGGTGGGAAAACTAGAGATCTAGGACTGAGCATCAGACTCAGATGTGAAGTTTGAGGTCTCCAAAGCAGCTCTCTGCCAATCATACAGCCAGGGACTTCTTCTTCTTCTTTTTTTTTTTTTTTTCCGAGACAGGGTTTCTCTGTGTAGTTTTGGTGCCTGTCCTGGATCTTGCTCTGTAGACCAGGCTGGCCTCGAACTCACAGAGATCTGCCTGGCTCTGCCTCTTGAGTGCTGGGATTAAAGGCATGCACCACCGCTGCCCAGCTTTTGTTGTTCATTTTTAAACTGTATTTATTTATTTTGTGTGTGTGTGTGTGGGGGGAGGTCGCTGCGCATGTATGGAGGTGAGAGGACAGCTTTTCAGGTCAGTTCTCTCCTGCTACCATGTGGGTCCTGAGAACCAAATTCAGGTCAGCAGATCTAGTGTCAAGTGCCTTTGACCACTGGTCCTTCTTGCTAGTCTACTTTGATGTTTCTAGGCGGTTTAGCAACATGGTTAGGACTCCAGGAGAATCAGTCCTAAGCACTTCATGCGGCCTCTACGTGACACACACACACACACACACACACACACACACACACACACACACACACCCCGCCTGAGTTCTGGTTCAGCCTCATTTATAATCACACTCTTCACACACGCTTCATCGCCCTCTCCCCACCTTTCATTTGGTTACAAGAACACAACTCACTAGGTTCCTTAATATTTAACTTCTGCCCATTTGAAGCCAGAGTTTGCCAGGTCATCCAGGCCTTGCCGAATTGCTGTATGTCACAGAAAGGCTGGATGGGATGGCCCAGCGGGTTCAATGCACACCTTGTAAGCCTGAAGACCTGAGTTTAGTGCCCCCTGAACCTGTGGAAAGGTGGAAGGAGAGAACACACTCGACAGACAGTTGTGAGCTGCCATGTGGGTGCTGGGAATTGAACCCGGGTCTCCTGGAAGAGCAGTCAGTGCTTCCTACCTAAGTCCTACCTAAGACTTGCTGCTTTGCAGATAACCTAGGTTTGATTCCCAGAACCCACACGGAGGCTCACAACTATCCCTCACTCCAACTCCAGGGGACAGGACACCCTCTTCTGACCTCTGCTAGCACCAGGTAGGCACATGGTGCACATACATACATTCTGGCAAAACACCTGTACACACAAAATAAGCAAATCCAAAAATTAGTTGAAAAGGTAAACGACTTAACCAGCAACCATCCAATTCCTTTATTAATGTCGGATGTACAGGGACAAAAACGACACTCCACATGAACCTTAGCACGACTGTGAGAAAGTCACATCCTAAAAGTATGTGAAAGTCATGAAAGCATGGCTTTCCCTTGTACACACCCGACTCAGATACTCTGCGTGCGAAGCAGTCCCTCCTTAGCACTTTTATTAGGCAGTCTAGAGCAATCGCTTAATATAATGTATACATTGCTAGGACCTGAGCCATCCCGGGAAATTATTCACTAGCTTTATTTAGAGAAAACTGTCTTAAATGCAGCAATAAGAGTGGATAGGCAATCTGTGAACTTTCAAGATTTGTTCAGCTTTCTGCTTTAGGCCTTGATGAAGGCAAACTAAGGGTGCATTTCGAAATTCCTTAAGTCTTCCACTCAAAACACAATGCCTTGTTGGTTATGGATCAACCATAATTTCAATCATAAATTGAGAACCACAATTTAAAGCTTAGTT